AGCCAACTGCCTCTCAGACAAAGGCCTTCTATCTAGCACATATGAAGAATTAAAAAACATCAGGCCCCCCAAATTCAAAGACCCCATCCAAAAATGCGCCTCTGAGATGAATACACATTTCTCTAATGAAGAGATACTAATGGCGAATAAATACATGAAAAAATGTTCAACGTCATTAGCCATTGCAAATTAAAACAACACTGAGATTCTATCTCACCCCAGAAAGAGTGGCTATCATCAAGAAATCAACCAATAACAAATGCTGGAGAGGCAGTGGGCAGAAAGGAACACTACTCCACTGCTGGTGGGAGTGTAGATTGGTGAAACCACTGTGGAAATCAATTTGGAGATTCCTCACAAAACTAGGATTGGAAGTCCCATTTAACCCAGCTATTCCCCTTCTGGATATTTTCCCAGGGGAACTAAATATATCATGCCACAGCGATATATGTGCACCCATGTTTACAGCAGCACCATTTGTTACAGCTAAATCTTGTAAACAACCCAGATGCCCATCCACTGAGGAATGAATAAAAAAGTTGTGGTATTTCTATACAATGGAGTAGCACTTAGCTATTTAAAAAGATAAATTCGAGGCTTTTGTAGGTAAATGGATGCAAGTAGAGACCATAGTCATAAGTGAAATAAATCGTACCTGCATGTGTAAACATCATATTGTCTCCTTGATGTAGGAACCTGAAAGACTAGGTAAAACTCAGAATGTACAATAGATGATAGGAAAGGGAAAGAAATTGCTCAAAGGAAGGAACAGCTGGGATGAGGGAGAGAAGAAAAAAGAAAGAAGGCATGCAAACCATGAATATATATGAATATATATATATATATATATATATATATATATGAATAGCTGTGATGACTGTATTGCTCTTGTCTGATGGTGTATTGAAATGACCAGTTAATGCTCACAATTTTTTATGTTCTGATCGACTTTGTTTGCTTGTGTCTGGTGGTCTAAGCAACTGATTTGAAGTTAACAATATGCAATGGAATTACAATGGTGAACTCCTACAGTCCTGTCTAGTGAAACTCTGTGTTATCTCTAAGGTTTTATTGAAGAATTATTTTCTTATTCTCTTTAATGGTTTGAGCAATCTTTCATTTTTACATCTGTTAATCTGAGCAATGTAGTTGAGGATAGCCATATGCAATGTAACAACCACTGTTGATTTGTATTAATTTGTCTTGAGACCCTGTATCACTTTGAATGTTCTTGTTTTGATTTGTTTATGTTCATGATACAGGCATGCTGCTACTGTTCTATTTTTTTTGTTTGTTTGTGTCTCATGTACTACTCCCTTTAAAATAAAAAAAAAAAAAACTTTAAAAAAATAAGGAAAAGAACAGAAACTGTTCCACATTCCTTTCCTGTATGTTAAAGATTTCCCATCAGGCCACATTGCATTTGGCTTTTGGACCCAACCCAATAAGTAGTATCAAAACTGTCTCTTTATTCATTGACCTTAATGGTTGCATGCATGGTTTTGTCCTGCCCCTTAGTTATAGCCTATATAGGTTCATTGTAGATGATTTATGCTTCTTTCTTCCCAAAAGTTTATGGTAAGATACCACAACCCCTTGGAGCCAGTGGACACGTTCCCAACTGTGATCAGGCCACACTACTGGTGGTTTAGAGAATTTGTCCTAGGACTGGTCCTTTCACCTTTGGCTAGATCTGCAGCAGCTTAATATATTCTTTCTTTCAGAGACTTCTTTAGTCTCAAATATTTGATTTAACAAAATCAAAGTGTCCTAAAGTAGGACTGGAGGATCTGGAGAAGGAGAAGAGAGGCCATAGTGTCTATAAAAGGAGTAGATGTGCAAAGCCAGGACTCTGGCCCTAATAAAAAGTACACAATTATTCATGCAAGTAGACCTTTGTTAAACACAAACAATGGGAGACTAGAAAGGATTGGTAGAACTACCACCAGTTACCCACTGAGAAACCCTGATAAGTTCTGGTTTAGTTAAAATGAGGAGCTGTTGATTTCAGAAAAATATGAGATCCTGGCTGTTGTCCACTTATGCTTGGCACTTCAAACCACACTCCCAAATGCTTGAAGAGCTAAAGCCTGGAGTCTTGGGTCATGCGCATGCGCATCTGGGAAGGCAACAAGGTCCCCGGCTGTTCACTCTCCCACTGCGGCTCCCTGACCCGGAAGATGATGCCATTGAGGCGACCCCCGCTGGGGCGGCGCCTGTAGAGGACGTCATCTCAACGCCCTGGAACGCAGCATTGTGAGGGGCGTGGCCTGGGGGAGGCATTGCCCTGGCACCGAGTCTCGGCCTCCCAGACTTGCTTAGAGCAGAGAGGGAAAGGTTGTGCGGAAGAGTAGGGCGGAAGAATAGGACAGCCGGCTACCCTTGGCCCCGGTTCCCGGTGGCCGACGGGTGGCCATGGATCTGTACTTCCGCAAATGCTGTAAGGCCAGTAAAGCTGCCGCCGCCAAGGCACCCACCAACAGCCTAAACTCGGAAAAGAAGCGTAGCACAGTGAGTGGCGGCCACTTCTGTGGTCCAGAGGCGGACCCACGGGACCGAGATCTTGACGAAGGGGAGGGAATGGGGCGGATCTGTGACAGCGCTTCTTCCCACACCCTGGCTTAGGGCAGCCACTGGCCAGGACAAATCTTGGGCGGGACTCAGAGGTTGGGCTGGGGACCTGGAGGGTCGGGAAGCTTTCTGGGTTGTCAGCCAGGAGAGTTGCTTCAACCTTGTGTAATTCTTTGGTTTATTTGGAAGTACTAGCACAATGAAATGTGAGTAGATTGGTCCAAGCTAAGTGAATAGTTCCTAGCAGAAGAGACAAAGTTTCCAATTGTATCTGACAGAGCCCACAAAAACACCCGGTTCCAGAGATTGGAGCGGCTGACCTGTTGGATCTGCCTCTAGGGGTCAAGGTCCCCGTTTCCCCAGGAAGCACTAATATATTCTATACTACAAATATAAGTGAAAAGGTAAAGTGAGTTTTAATAGTGTGTAAGCGATTCTCTTTACCCTTTTAATCTTGTCGTTAAACTTGAAACATTTTGGTATTATTATGCATTGTGACGACTTCAATTTCATACACCAGATGGGGTTAAATGAGTTGGGGTGTTTGTTTCTAAACCTCACATGGTAATGATGGAAGGCCCTAGGGTGTCCAGGTGCCCCATCCAGCACCACATTCAGCCTTTTCTCCATTTAAAGCTTCAACTCCACAGGTTGCGTCTTTTCTACCTACTCACACATGCCGTGTTGATTTCTACTTCTTTCCCTTCCTCTGGTTCTGGAAACCTGACCTGCATTCCCCTCTCTTTCTGAACTGTCACTCACAACCTCTGCTCAGAAACTGGATTGTGGTTGAGGCTACCCGCCGACTATTTGCAAATTGGAATTCCACAGGCCATCTCCAGCCAAAAGAGTCTGGGAAAGGAAAAGAGAAAGGCAATAGGTTTACCCAAATCATCCCATTGTCTGTATTCTCTCACTTCGGATTCTGCTGGCTTGGCTTATTTCTCAATGAACATCCTAATCAAATCGATGTTTGAATGTGTTACTTCATTCACTTTGCATTTGTCATACTTTTACATTTGTTTGCAGCTTCATCAGCCTTCTTTGGGGTTTAGCCTCACTGACCCTTACTGCCAGCTTTTGGAAACAACCTATAAAAGCCTTCATGATCCACACTTAAAAACATACTACCAGCGGAAAGATATCCTGAGGAGATTACGGAGAGGCGGGTTCATCACCAGTGATAATAAAGTGAGTTGAGGCTTATTCTTCCTGTTAATCAGCAAAACCCTGGTGATTTGATACACATTGGCTTCTGTGTCTCACTGAAAACCTGTGTCAACATTTAGCTGAGCAATAGGGGTTATCTAATTTTTTTAAAACTCAAGGAATAACTCAGTATTTGGGTCAGGGAAACTCAGATGGCTATTTTTCCTAAAATTATTTCCTACTTAATAATTTTTCATTAAAAACAGCAAAAGATAATTACCAAGTACTTTGAGTATGTAAAGACCCCACAAACACACGCATATTTATTTAGCAGTGTGTATTTACCCCCCCCAAACATATCATAGTGCTTTTCCCCTGGCTGTAAAAGTAATTTCCCATGCCTTTGGGAAAACTAGAGACAAAATGGAATTTAGCAGGGTACAGCTTGGTGGAATAAATTATTTGCTGGGTATGATAACATCATTTTTTGGGGGGGGGGGTTGGTTTTTCTCCGGTACCAGGAACCGAACTCACGACCTTGCGCTTGCCAGGCAAGCGCTTCTGCCACTGAGCTAAATCCCCAGCCCTGATAACATCATTATTATGTTGGTGTTTTGCTTTAATAACAATTTATGTGGGAATAGCAAATTTTTGACTATGGTGTGAGCCTTATTAACGAACCAGTATTAGTTAGACAGATTTCCTGGTGATAAAGCAGTTGTACAGAGACAGTGCCTTCAAAAGTGTTACTAACATGTGTTATTAGATTTGATCCCCAAACTGTTACTAAAATGTTCACAATACCCTGTCTTTCTGGAAAATGTTATGACTGTTACAACTTTGTATTTATATTTTTGGTTTTTGTAGGTCGTATGTACCTTGAGTGAATTTAATAAGTACAGACAATATCTGACCAGCTTAAAAATAGACTTTGAAAGAGAATACTTAAAAGAACATGTAAGTACTTCAATTTGTTTTATTTTGGACTTAATAAGAAATTTTTGTGTGAGGTTTGGCCTTATTCAGATTACTTGCTTAAAATATTGTAACATAGAAATATTAAACTAACAAAAAATAAGATCCCTATAAGAATGTATAAAAGGAGATGTTTTCTTTTTCATTTTCAGAGAAAACTTTTAATTTGTCTGGAATGGGGTCACATGACTTAAATTCAGGTTAACAGTATTAATCTGCAAAATATAGTTCTGGGTTTATCAAAAGCTAGTTTTATTTCTGGAATATATAAAAAACTTTAACACATTTTTATTTCAGAGTACTATGAAGACCCATGTAAACAAATTGCGGGACAGTCAGAAAGTCTGTAACAAGTGTGATGCTGCGAAATTCCAAGAATGGCTGCTACAGAATAGAAAACAGACAACCCCAGAGCAAGAGCTGATAATAAAACGCCGGTATGGGCAAAGCTAATGCATATTTTATGGACATATTTGGGACACCCAAGAACTGTAAAAGTATTAGAAAGACTTGAATACAGGATAAACTAGATGCCACCCTCCTAGTAGTCAATGTGGAAAGAAGGTAAATGAAGAGGTAGAGGGCTGGGGGACCTTGAAACCAAGGTTAGGGAAAAGACTTTCCTGCAGCTGCTGCTACACACATTTCGAGACCAAGCCCATCCTCAGAAGGTAAAGGTATGAGTTGTAGCTCTTTTTCTTTCTCTTTCATCAGAGGTGGAGACCAGTTCCTCATCATCTGGCTCTTACATTCCATGGATTCACCTCACAGTATGCCAGAATGCATATTGATCCATGAGAGTCCCAGGATGATAGTCTGCAGGCTTCTACAGACTGATCCTCTCTGGATGAAACGTTGTTCAGGGAGGCCAGTATCCCCTTATTTACCAGGAAAATTGAAATCATTTGGCTTTCTGAAATTGACTAATTGATTTGATTTTGGCCATCTTTGGAATGTCATGTTTCCCAGACCACTGAATTATGAATAAATGCTCTTAATCACTCTATTCTACATTTTGTCATTATCCTAGCTACAATAGTGGAGAATTGTGTAACAGACTGGTGAAATGAATACATCATGGTGAGTTAGTGGACTAGCTCAGAGGTTCCTGAATAACTCAGTTTCTTGTAATTTAGAAAATTTTTTAAAAAGAAACAACCATCCAGGTAACTTGGAAATATCAAGGCAGATAATGCCATAATGAAGGAAACCTCCAATTTATCTTCACTTATATTTGCATTTTTACCTAGATATTTAGATATGATCCGTAAGAAAGTAAACAAGATTGAAGATACAACAGAAGACCAAAGAATGCTTCCGATGAAAAAAGAGAAAAGACTATATGAGGACTACATAAGAAGAAAAATTAATCTGTGTGGACCATTTGAAGAGGTGAAGAACACCACATTTTAAATACTAGTGTTAAATATTAGGGAGGATTGTATGGATGTTTTAGTTATAAGCATTTTAATAGTTTACATCAGTTGAGGTTGTAACAGTTCTAAAAAATAAACCCCTATTAATCTTTTATCCCTGTTATACTAAACAAGCTTTTAGTTAAAATAGACTGATGCCACTGATGCACACCCCTGACGTCACATTTCATCTGCTATATAAAATTATACAGTTTAGCTCTAGGAAAAGGTAATCATGCTTTCTCTCTCCCCAAACTCAGACAGGGCTGTTACTTGTTTAGTTTCTCTGTCAAAATGAATTTTAAGAGCAACAGATTTCAGCTGATAGATCCCCTGCATCTAGAAAAGAAAAACCCCTTTTGTGTGTTTCCTTGTAGCTCTACCTTTGGAGCCAGGACTACACTTGAATTAAGCCTATACAGAAATAGCAAAATAAACGGGGTCTGTGCTGCACTGCCATAATCCCAGCACTCTGGGAGGCTAGGGCTGTAGGATCACAAATTCAAGCCCCGTCTGGACTGCTTAGCAATTTAGTGAGATGCTGTCTCAAAATTAAAAATAAAATAAAAAGGCTGGGAAGGTAGCTCAGTGCAAAGACCCTGGGTTCAATACCTAGTATTTCAAAAAAGAAAAAATTCATTTTGCCATTCCATTGTATCAACCAGGATAGCAACATAACCCCAGTGAAGGGCCAAGATAATTCCATTATAAAGTCAGTACAAGATTTTCATAATGATTGACCTGATTTCTGTTAAGCCATTGATTTAATCTAATTTGCTTATTAGTAGAAGATAGAAAAAAATACAGTACTAAAAAATGTGGTGAAAGAGAATCCATGCTAATGACTGTAACATTGTACTCATCAGGAATGGAAAAATAAAGAAATATTACTTCTGAGAAAGATTGGAGAAGAAGCAGAAAGAGACTGGAAGGTTGAACAGTGTCGGAAAATCAGAGAAGGAATTGCTCAGAAGGTAGTGGGGCTTTTACCAAGCACTCGGGCTGTTTGAGGAAAGGCTTTTGCCATTTTTGATACTTTAAAGTATTGTCAGAAGTGGCCTAAACTCACAGGGCCAGTTATTGATGGAAAGATCCAGTGTGGCCTAACCCTGAGTTTCAAGGGCTGAAGTGGGAATAATCTTCAGAAAATGAGCAATGAATTAAATCAGACCGAGATATTAAAATATTTTCTTGGGTTTCGGGTTTAGCTGAGGGGTTTAGGAGAGCACTTATGCTAGGCCACAAAAGGTGGTCCTTACTCCTTACTGTATTTCTAGCTTTGTACTTGGGTGACTTTAGGAATTTCCAGATGAGAATACAAGTTGAAATCAACTACACCATCGTATTTATAATATCTGTTTTCAGTTCCAATGCAAGTTAATGTTAAACATTTTAATATATTAAATATATTTTAATATTTTAGAAACAAGCATATCTAGAGAAAAAAATTGCATACCATTTACAAAAAGTACAAAGGAATGACCATGAAGAAGAATCAGAAGGAAGTGCCTTTACAAACAAAGGCCAGGATAAAACAGGTGAGACAATAAAAGACAAAATAGCTAAGTAGAAGATGCATATATGTATATTAAACATGAGGGTCTTTTATTTGGAGAGGACACAAGGCCCTTCCAAAAACTAAGTCCTAAGAGCTCACACTACCTGTTCAAGGCACTTTCAGTCACAGCTCAAGTTTTAAAGTGTGCAAACATGCCCATGGTATGTATAATGTACATTATAACCATGACAGATTCATTGTTCTTAAAAGGTGGCTCAGGAGACAAGAGTGCCAGTATATCCTGTTTTGAAAAGGGCCAGTAAAAGGAGACAGCACACACAAATAGGAGAGGGAGAGAGAAAGAAATAGGTTTAACAGGAGGAACCAGTACCAAAAAACAGTTACAAAATGATTGAAAGCAGGGGCTGGGGATTTAGCTCAGCGGCAAAAGCGCCTGCCTGGCAAGCGCAAGGTCGTGAGTTCGGTTCCCGGTACCGGAGAAAAACCAAAAAAAAAATGATTGAAAGCAGGAAAGACAGTTTAAGAAAAAAAATTACTCCCAAAATGGAGGGGATAAAACACAAATAAAAATACAGAAAAAATTTTAAATGAAGAACCAGTAAGAAGAGATGATATAAAATACAGAAAGAGCAAGCTAGTGAAAGAAAGAGAAGGAAAAGTTTTTAAAGGCTATAAAAAGACATGTAAAAAAAAAAAAAAAAGACATGTAAGTATACACAAAGTAAGGAATAGAAAAGGTAAGAATAAAAGTTCAAAAGGAGGAGGCAGTAAAAATAGATAGGACAAAAAGAAATAAAGAGTGAAATGGAGACAGAGAGAAGGAGAAAGAAAGAAAATTGAACAGAAGAAGCCAATAGGAGAATACAACATGCATGCATGCTTGGAATGAGGTAGTTAGGGCGGAGCAGGGGATGAAGACAAAGAAAAAATAAGATAGAAAGAAATGCAGCCAGAAGAGGACGAAGAAAGGCAGACAGGTAAAGAAAGGGGAAAGATAGCAAAAGTAAATAAGTGCAAGAAAAAGACACAGATAAAAATATGGGCACAAAGAGAGGGAGATAGAGAAAGGGTAAGTAAGTAGATGTGTTACTGTTCTCCTTGCTGGCACAAAATATGCAACACTCACAGCTATGGGAAGAGAGGTTTATTTTGGCTCACGTTTGAGCCCATAGTCAGCCAGTGCTAAGGCAGGATGGCCTGGCACAGGCACACAGTGGAGGACTGTCTGCTCATCTCCTGATGGTCTGGAAGCAGAGAGCCAAGGGAGGAGCCACGAAGGGAGATGCACCCTTCCGTTCATGTCCGCAGAGCCCCACCTCTTCTGACCAGGTCCACTTCGTAACACAAGCCAGCTATAAACCCCATAATCGAATCACCTTCCAAAAGCCCCTCCTATGAGCTCGAGGCTCTTGAGGAACATCTAGATATAAACCATAACAGTAGAAAAAAGTAAAATAAAGAAAAAGAGAATATATGAGAGTGAGAGAGCAAGGAATTTGGAAAAGATGAGCCAGTTGGAAAATCAAAGTTGGGATCAGGTTATGAAAAATGAGAAGTCAATAAAAAAATCACTTAAAGATCATTATGATAGATATATGAGCAGACAGCATAGACTTTAAAAGGGAGAAAGCAGTAGGAAGCAGGACAATGAAGGTAGACTGAAAGAACAGGAAGGATGCAGGGGAGTAAGAGTAAAAGAACAGAAAAAAGAAAAAGGCAGTAAGAAAAGCAATAGAAGAAAATATATAAATTAAAGAAAAGTGAGATTAAAAGTGAGGAAACAACACAAAAAGAAAGAAAATGGAAATGTATAAGGAGAAATCAGTAAAAGTAGTACAATAAGAAAAACCAAAAAGAAGACAGCAACACTAAGTAATAGGTAATACAAACAAAAAGGAAAAGCTAGTAAGAAAGACAGTGCAAGAAACTGGAAAGAAAGTACAGAATGAAGAAAGTGGAAAAGGAAGAGACAGAGAAGGAGAAAGTAAGGTTAAAAGCCAATAAAAGGGACGAAAAAAGAGGGAAAGAGAAAGAACAAAGGAAAAGTTCTAAAAGGTAAGCCTGTAAAAAATAATTAAGGAAATCTGAAGAAAAGCAGGGAGGAAGGGAGAAAGGAAAGCAGGCAAAAAAAAAAAAAAGTGAAAGAAGGGCAAAAGAAAAAATGAGAAAAGAAGGATTAAATAGAAATTAAGATGTGTAAATAAGGGGGGAAGAGGGTTTTAAGGGAACAGGGGAAGAGGAAGAAAAAGAATCAAGCTATAACATGTACAGATACAAATTTCCTATGATGAATGTGATAATTACGTATGTCTAAAATATACTATTAAATTTAATTTTTAAAAAGAGCTAAGAAGAAAGAGAAGGGAGAGGGAGGGGGGAAGGAAAGACAGAAAAAAGTTTAAAATGGATGCGCTAATAGGAAAATAGTAAAATAAAAGAAGGAATGTGACTGGGGAGAAAGGCTTCAAAAAGAGCAGCAGGAAGATTCCAGTACAACTGTGCATTGACAAAGAGGCTCGTCGTTTCTAAAAGTGATAAGGAATGCATAAAAACTATGTAAAAAGAAAGGAGAGAGGGAAGGAGAGAGGGAGGGGCAGAGGAGAAGGTGGTGGTAGGAGAGAGGGGACAAGAAGGAAGATAAAAGGAAGGAGGGACCCGGCGTGGTGGTGCACAGCTGTAATCCCAGCTCTGAGGAGGCTGAGGCAGGAGGATCACCGCAAGTTTGAGGCCAGCCTGGGCTACATAGTGAGATTAAGTCCAACCTCAACTACATAGCAAGACCCTTTCTCAAAAAAAAAAAGGAAGGACAGAAGAAGGCAAAGGGGAAAGAAGAAGGGGAAAGGGCAGAAGGAAGAAGGGAGAAAGGGAATCAGGAGAAAAAAGGGAAGGAGGGAAGGAAATTTTAAAAGACTGAGTCAGTAGGAAAATGGAAAATTTTAAAAAGAGGGAATGTCATTTTGAGAGAGGTTTGTAAAAGAGGAGACAGTAAGAAATTAAGTACAATTGAGATTTTAAAAGAAGACTTCAGTTTAAAAAGAAAAAGACTAAAATAGCCATAATGGACAGACAAACCAAGAAGTCAATTTTAAAAGAATAAACAAAAAATAAAGCACATTCACATGGTAGCTTTAAACTAGTCCCTCTTAGGACTGCTTTCATTGTGTCCAGTAGGTTCTGGGGTGTGCTGTACAGGTTATAGATATATAGATATATAGACATAGTGTCATTTGATTCTAGGAAGAAAAGAAAGGAAGGAAGAAAGAAACAGTTATGAGGGATGAGTCTCTAGGAAAAAGAAGAGAATTTTAAAAGCAGAGGAAATATAGCCATGAGATGACTCAGTTGACGAGTAAAGACAAAATAAACACACACATACAAAAGTAGTTAGAAACCATAACAGTAGAAAAAAGTAAAATAAAGAAAAAGAGAATATGTGAGAGTGAGAGAGCAAGGAATTTGAAAAAGATTGCCATTTGTTCTGAGAAGTGTCCACTCATTTCAGTTTCCCACTTTCATTTGGGAGGGACCTAGTTTTTTTAGTTCTTTATATATTTTAAATATCACTCTGTCAAAGGAATAGCTGGTAGAATTTTTTCCTATTCTGTAGGTTGTCTCTTCCCTCTGTTGGTTGTTTCTTCCGTTCAGAAGCTTTTTAATTTGATATGATCCCATTTGTTGGTTCATGTTGTTTCTTGTGCAGTTGGCTTGCCTATACCTATGTCTTCAACAATTTTTCCTAGTTTATCTTCCGGTAGGTTCAATGTTTCTATTTTTATGTGTAGACCTTTGATCCATTTTGAGTTTAGTTTAGTACATGGTAAGAGATATGGGTCTAGATTCAGTCTTCTGCATTTGCATAGCAAGTTTTCCCAGAATCATTAAAGAGGCTTTTTTTTCAGTGTATACTTTTGGTCCCTTGAATAACATCAGATGGCTGAATGTGCCTGAGGTTGTTTCTGCACCCCTGTTCTGTTCCATTTATCCATATGTCTGTCTGTGTGCCAGTACTATGTTGTTTTTATCAGTAGAGATTTATAATATAACTTGAAATAGGAGATTGTGGTGCCTTCTGCTTTGCTCTTGTCGTCCAGGATTATTTTTGCTATTTGGGGTCCTTTCTGGTTTTGTGTGAATTTTAGGGTTGTTTTCTTTAGTTCTGTGAGGAATGCTTATGGGTATTATGATTGGATTGTGTTAAATCTGTATATCAGTTTTTGAAATATGGCCACTCTGACAATATTGATTCTACTTTTCCAGGAACAGGGAATATCTTTCCATGTTCTGATAACGTAGAAATTTTGAGATGGCTTAAAATGTCATGAAGCTTGTAAAAACTTCTGAAACCTCAGGTTAGAAGTTAGGATAGAAGTTAGGATTTTTTTTAAGTATGACAAGGAAAAATGGTTTTCACCAGTGAGAGAATACCATTATAATTTTTATTTATAATATTAAATTACTAATGGATTTGTTTAGCTGAGTTCTTTTTGACTAAAATATTTTCAAAAGGTTTGTTTTTAATTAACTACTGCCTTTCTATTTTTGTGTTCTTTATGCATTTATCTTCATGACTTTTTTATATTATAATACTGCCTCCCCAAAGCTCAATGAATGCAAAATGGAAGTACTTAAACAGAAGAGAATAAGAACATGTAAATCTCAAAATCTGATTGTCAACTACAATATTCCTTATACATGATACAAATTCGTCTTTGAAGTATTTAAGCAGTGGCTTCATTGACAGTTGTGTGTGGCTTTTTTAGCCTCCTATACTGAATTTGGTTATTAGTTTGGTTATTAATTACCTGAATTTGGTTATTAATTCTAGGAGTCTGGTAGAATCTTTTGGATCTTCTGTGTAGAGGAACATGTCTGATGCAAATAATGATATTTTCACTCCTTCCTTTCCTATACATATCCCTTTTCTTTCTTTCTCTTGCCTTACTGTTCTTGCCAGTGTTTAGAGTACTATGTTGAACAGGGGTAGTGATAGTGGGCATCCTTGTTTTGTTCCTGATTTCA